ATCAGCTGCAGGGCCGTTAATACATTAACGGCCCGCTAGGAGTCATTTGCGGCCCGCAAAGCGCGTGTTTTCAAGAGGGCGGTTTTCAATTTGGCCGCGTATATTGATAATAATTTAAATTTAAAAAAAGAATGGCCCTTTCTGTTTTGGGGACTTTAATAACTGTACCGTTACATTTAATATCAGCAGTAAATAATTTAGGTTTAAAGTTTGTTTTGTAAAATGTGTGATTAAATAAAGTTGTTTATCGCCACGTTGCATGAATAATTAATGAGTTTGCGTTGCAAGCGTTTTTAAAAATGTTTTGTCTCACCTGCTAAGTCAGTTGAGTCAGGGCAAGACTGCTCCTGAACTTGGCCTTCCAGTGACGATATGTCACTATGCATTTCGTAAGTTTGAGGTGGAAAATAGCTTGGTTTCCACTCTAGAGAGGCAGAGCGAAAATAAATATCTTGGTTAATAATTGAAATAGGAAATTACCTCACACACACAAAAAAAGGGCGTTAAAGGAAGTTCCGTGAAGTATCTAAGAATTTTGGAGGGGTAGGGGTGGGAGTGCACTTAAATTGAGGGAGATTTAAGTATATAAAATTTTATGCCCTAGTAAAAACCGTTAGAGCGAAGCGTTAACTAACAGCAAATCTTAGGTGTGGCAAATTGCTCTTTGAAGGGGAGGAGAATAGCACACAACACACCAAAATACAACACAACACAACAGAGCAAAACACAGCAAAACACAGCATAACAACTAGCAACGCAACTAGCAGCACAATTAGCAAACACAACTAAAAAACACAACTAAAAAACACAACTAAAAAACACAACTAAAGGCTGCCTTATTTTTAACCTTCTTTATACAACACAAATACAAAATGCAACACAACACAACACAGCAAAACAAAATCACAACCAGATACAGCAACTAGTAAAAGTAGCAAAACAACTATCATTTGGCTCCGACTCCGATTTTGACATGTTTCGAAAATCACAAGCCTCACATAAGCATAGTGCCACCAAGAGATTTTAGCATTGGGCAAATTGGAAGTTATGGGAAGGGAAGCAGAAAAAACCTCTGTTCTTTCCTGTGACTCCCAGCACTAACAGAGGGTCTGCCTCTAGGATGCTTACCTTCGTTAAACTGTCATCTAAACGAACCATTTAATGTACACAATGTAGATCATGTGAAACATACCATTGTGACGAAGTCTGTATAATTAATTTAGTTTTCAATATTGACTATTTGTTTTCTTTTTTGTACATGTAATTATGCAGTTGAGGGCTAAACTACATCAGTCAATAGACTGCTGTACATACTTAAAGACACTATATGACAGAGCCAAAAGGATTTCACTCACCTGGAATTTCAGCCAGTTTCCTTTCCATGTCATCTGGGATGAAAATCTGATTATGATTATGAAGCATCAAGCTTTCTGCTTCTTTACCATCTGGAACATTGGCCTCTCCTTGTTGACAAAAAGAAAGGGAAAAAATCAACAAAAGACTCATTTTCTGAAACTATTTTTGTTGAGCTGATCACAGCGGGCCTGTGCATTGTTGTCCTTTTTAATTTGGAGTTTGAGGACAAGGAAGTTTGAGGTAATACTTTCTCTCGGCGTTAACAACATCACTGTCCAAAGTGGAGTACATGAACACACAGTCCTGTACATGTAGCATGCACAATAACAAACCTTACCTTTTTAAATTTCTGATGAAGGAGGACATAATATTAATTAAGCCACCAAAAAATTTGGAAAGATGAAACCAGATCAGCTTAATTTTTCCAAAAATTCTCTATTACTGATTGCAATAAAGCCTGCAGTATCTTCAGTAACATTGAAATTAAATTATGTTGTACATAATGTTATTAATCAGTACAGGCTTTTAGCCAGAATTTGAAGAGTGGACGTCCAATATGTGCTATAATAGGGCCTGCTCAAAGGCAGCATATGAAAAATAAATAATTTTCTATAGAAAGTGGCCATCCTCAGGATGCCTGGACACCCATCTGGCTAAAACCCTGAATCAGTACCACTGCATGCTTATTGAACGCACTGTTAACTATCAGCAACAAATAAATATTACAAACAGAACAAAAAGTTCTTCAAAGAAGCCAAGCTAGTTATTCACTTCCTAGGTTACAAAGCATAGCCACAGAGTTGAACTTAACACCTGGAAAAAAACAAATCCAGCTTAGCTTAGTAGCTGGGCAGACGTTTTGAACCATGGACTCTAGATTTCAAATCTAGTGCCCTAAAAAACTTGGTCATGCAGGCTCCAGCAAAAATTTTAAATAAACAAACAAATGAAAAACAAAGTAAAACAAAACATGGGCAGGTGGGGGGAGAATGTTCACTATTACCTCCCACAAGTTGTTTCCTGAGTTGTCCGGCTCTCCACAGTTGCTGTAGTCTGGCCTTAAACTGGGGACAGGCTGAACTATCTGTGACATCACTACCAAACTGTGTGTTGCCCTCCCCTCCAGCAAACTTGAACTCTTCAATGCTGATTAAAAACTCAGCATGATCCTGATCAGCAAATAAAGAAGTGGATGTGAAGTTAAATTTTGTAACGTTTACACAATAAAATACACGTGAGAACCAAGGTGACAACTCTAATAAAGCCTGTGCCATTTGAACTGCACACTGTAGGCAAATCAAATTATTCTGAGCATTCAGGCAATCATTTTGGCCATGGGACCTTGCCCAAGATGCACATTGTGGAAAGAAAGGAGCAGGCTCAGAAGGGACATAGGGTAAGAAACTGGTGATTGCATACTGCAAATGGCTGTGCCACTGATTAAATAAACGTATTATAAAAACGTTCTGCATGCAGCAACATAGGCAAGTGTGGTGCATGTATTAAATAGGATGCTAGTAAATTTTTTTTT